AGAAGAAGTACTTGAAAGATTTTCTGAAGATCAGCAAAGACTGGCTTTAGCAAAAATAATAAATATGAATTCTTATATAAAAATAACTGATAAAAAATGTGATTAGGCTTAATTTGATAAATCTTTGCCCTCTCCTAGATGAAATCTCGATGCCGCCCATGTATAACGTATTAAAGAAATTGGATCGGTATTTTTATCGGCGACGATTGCGCGATTTAATGAAACGATAATTGATAAAGATCTGTGAAAAATTTTTGTTCAAATACTTGAATTTGTTACAAGATAATTTTCATATTTCGGACCGATATGCGTTACTCAACGGAAATATGGGGATAACGTCCTGCAAGAGGACGAAATCTGAGAGAGCGATGTGACATATCACCCGCGCGTGTATTCTCTCGAATTTCTACGGTCTTTGCAACACTTTGCTCTCGAACTATTTTGAAGATACCTATAAATACGTGTGCATGCCGCGCGCAATATACGACAAGTGCTCCCGCAGACGGCAAACATGCCGTATCTGGCCTGTCGCTTAAATAAAATGGTCTCATCGGCGAGAAATTATTAACCGCGACCCATTACACATATACACGCACGTTCAAGGCCGTTCTCAAGAGGATGCAGCCTCGTGACGACGGAGGTTTAAATCAAATGTTTAATTACGCGAATAATGTTTATACGCGCGTGGACAAATTTTTAAGACAGTTCCAGCTGACTGAATGGAAAAGAGCCAAGTCGTTATTTCTGCTTTTACGTATAGGAATGTTTTTATTCTTTCTTGCCAAATAAATTTTATTAATGAATCTGTGACCGACTGGCTAAAATGTATTTATATCTAATGAATGAATGCTCCGCTTCCATTTATATTTTATATATGTTAAAAGTATATTTTTTATTATAAACCGGTTCTGAGAATTTTTAAGAGATCTAATAATAAGTTACAGACATAAAATTAATAATTGTTACAATGTATAATAATTCATAATAAATGTGATAATAGTAGTCGATAAAAAACATAATCATCAAATTTAAAAAGATTTAATTAATCAGCAAGATAAGAAAAAGTAAATTTGTAATTGGATATGATCGACATTGATAAAAAATTTACATACATAATTGTGCACATACCTAATTTTTGATTTTTTAATAGCGAATATTTAGAAAAGATATTATTTTGTCTTGTAAGATCTCCTCCATATAACGTGTTTTAATATTCTGGAGCAAAAAATCTGCGTGATGAAAATTAAAAGTCACAAATTCGTCTCATTTTCAAGTCTTCGCTTTGATACAAGTTTCTACACAAAATTATTCCATTGCCCAAATTCGTGCTCCAACATTCGCTGCACGTTACATACGGACATGTTCTAAATAAGATCTAAGGTTGCCAATGTGACACCCGACACCCTTGAACACGTGTAACACTTGGAATATGTCGGCGAGTTCTCCGTCAGAACCAGTATTACGAGGTGGTGAACACCTAAAGCGGAATAGGTCTTCACCTCGCAGAGAGTAGGAAGGACGGAGGAGGAGAGCGAACTATTTGAGCAAGTTAAACTTGATACACAGGTGGATCATCGAAGCCGACATTCGAGGCTCTTCCAATCGACCGATGAAGCGAGGAATACGCATACTTTTTCAACTGAAAATTGTTCATATAGGTTACTTCAGTTTTTTTAGCTCGAGCCAATGAACTGATAAACGGATATGATAAGAATGAAATAATGCAAATTATATGAATTGGTAAATGATGCAAAAATATAAATTTCTTTTTCATCACGCAAAGTTTCACATTAATATTTTTATTGTATATAATATCGAAAAGTATGCGATGTATTTTACGAGTGCAGAAAAAAAGCAACAAATTAAACGACTCGTGGAAACTCAATATTATTAAATAATTTATTTTAAGAACATTGTAAAATTGCTTACATGTGATATGTGGATGACTTTGGCAAAATTTATTAGTTTTACATATTTCATAATATTTTAATATTTTTTTTAATGAGAAACTATTTCGAAACTCGATCGAAAGATTAATCAATTTTGCTTTGGTTTGAGAAACACGTGCGAGATGTTCCAGACGGTGTTAAATTTAGAAATTTCGCACGACAGCATTAGTCACGGCGATCTTTGTTCCTCATTTTGCGGTTAGAAGTCTCGCATTTCGCTGTTTTCTAGTCTGCAGTGATCTTTAATTTTCGAGACCAATGATCGAAAAGTTCGCTCTCATTTCGATCTTGCTGTGATAATCGCATACAAGAAGCAAATCTAACGCGAATAATACTTTATTTAATAATTCCATTATTTTAATATTCTCGTCATTATTATAGAAGAACAGTTGAAGAAAATCGAGGCTACGCGGCCTTATGAGAGCAATTATTATAATTACGCTGCTCAATTAATTCTATACATACGAACGATGAATACAATAGAAATTTATGAAAATAAATTAATGATAATTTCGTACACATTATTTTCACGTGAGAAAAAACTTGTCAAAAATTTCTTTAAAAAGAATTTATTATAATAATATTGATTATAACATTATAATTATTATAATTACAAGTATTTATTATAATAATATTTATTATAAAATTTATTATACGTTATGTGTGATACTATTTTTAAGAATCATGCATTTTAACGTAATGTGATATTTTTTATATATGTTGCTCGTGAATATATTTTTTATTTCACGCAGAATCGACTAGCGGGGCAGCATAGGGCTGTGCATTCGATGGAAATTTATGCGTGAGACCCGCCTCTCTCTCTCTCTCTCTCTGCTCGTAGAAGCCGAGAGAATTCGGTCGATGTATATACAGACGCCAAGTCTCGCAAACCCCATCTGGGCCCTTTACGAGCATCCGATTGCCTCCCTTTCGTCGACAACGAGAATCGTAGGTTGTTGGGTATATAGGAACCACCAATATACCAGAGTGTGTGTGTGCGCGTGCGCTTGTGCATGTGTGATCTTCGAAACTTTTAAAATAGATCTAAAACTAATCAACCTGACGGAACAGACCCTCGGACCGTAGCTAACATATGAACAATCTCGTTTATTTCGCGTGTGCGTTGCCCTTTATAATTAGATATATAATTAATACAATAAAATAAAAATGGGCGAGATATCTAATATAGAGATGTAAAATAAGTTAACTAGAAATTATCTTATATTATAGAGGAAGAATTTTTTACAATATAATTATTGTAGCGGAAAAAAAATTCCTCAGCAAAGGAAAAAAAAATAGAGAAAGTCGGTGTCTGATATTTTCTACGCTCGATGATAATCAGCAGTGCCTGCGGAAACAATGTTTCGTTAACTCGCGGTGACGAATTGCCCATTGACTTGTGACCCTGCGAAAGAAATAAGAGAAATGTCCTCTCTCTTTCTCTCTATCGCAACTCTTTTTTTTTTTTATTTTGACGTTTCGATAAGCAACGCCGTTTTTGGAAGTGAGCCCCGTTTGCATTACGAAGCGGCGTCCCGCGGGTCCGAACGGGCCCGCAAAAATGACTGCCAAAAAAGGCCCAACTTCATGAAGTCGAACCGTCACTCATCGCGGCCAATTGGCTTCCACAACGCAACAATGTAACGCGATGTGTGCATAACGATGCACCGCATACACAAGTATAAAAGGTGTTTGTGTGCGGCAGAGGTCGAACGATGCAGACACGTGGTGCGTATACGCATAATTCACATACATTTATATATATATATATATATACATATATACACATGTGAATGTCGTTGCACACCTCCTTCCCTTGCCGGGACCTACCCAGGAGTAAAGGTTTTACCGATGGCGTACGCCCATACGCACGTAGCATGTAGGCAGAGGTTCCCACACCGCAGGCCATGATTTATTGGCCTGCCACTCGCCAGACCTGCTGTCATCATCGTCCCATGGTTGGTCCATGATACAGCGCGCCGTGCCGTATATAACTTCCCTCTATGCACGATCTTCGCGTCATATCGGCTCCTTCTTTCCTCGCGCCCCGTTGATACAGGAAGGCCGTCCGGCCCCTTCTAGTCCGTCCACCTTGTTTTACCTTAACCAGCCGATACCCATGCCGCCCGTATTGAAGCCGACAATCACCTTCTTTCTCATCGAAGGAGACGCTTCTCAACCCGCTTTCCTTCCTCCCCCGTCGTGGCTGGGAGGCGCAAATTTCGCAAGCTCTGGATGTCGTTATCGCGCGTTTCCACAATTTATTTGTCGATTTAGATGTTCCTCGCTGGGCATCTGTCAAAGTATTTTTCGATCTGACAATTTTGGAAAATTAAATCATTGGAAGGAAAAATAGAAGAGTTGCATTTAAAACTCGAAGCCACATCGTATTCTAGGGGTCAAAATAAAAAAAAAAGGTTCCTGTAAATTTGGGTCACAAATGTGTTGCAGCTCTTGGAGATAATTAATAATTAATAGTTTACTTCATTTTCATGTGGTTGGCCAATTTGATGCGATTTTGAGACGGTGATATGAGCAAGTGCTAATTTTCATTTTTGGACCCATGTTTATAGGAAGTTTTTTTTTCTCTTGAATGAATTTGAAAAGATAATACAATAATCTTTGGTTGGATTCGTCTAAACGACGCTTCTTAAATAAGAAGGAAGAGCGAAAGAGACGAGCTTGTTCGATTCATGTGACTGTCGTCTACCATACGCGTAAAGCAACAATATAAACACATTATTACGAGCATCCCACGGGATTAGGGTCACCCACATATCGTGAACACCAGTTCCTCTCTCGAAGATCGCGAGGGGGTAACAAGCTCGCTACACGAGAGATCAGACGAGAGAAAGATGAGGGGGCGCGATGTAAATAAAGAAGGGAGAAAGAGAAGAGAAGAGAGAGAGAGAGCGTGTGCGAGGGGAGAAGGAGGGTTCTTCCCAGAACACGGGGGGCGAACGCGAAGTCGTCCGATTAGGAAGCGAGAGGGGTTACTTCGTTTCGTCGGCCGCCGGCGGCGGCGGCAGTTCGCTCGCTCGTTCGGCAGCACACAGTCGAACTCCTTCGCCACTGGACGACGGACGTCGTCGTCGTCGTCGTTGCTGTATCTAGCTCGAGGGACCGAGGGGCGGGTGGGACCATCATGTCGTGCGTCATGATCAGCATCCTAATGATACTCGCGTCGATCGCGCGCGGATGCGCCGGCTGCCCTTTCTGCGCCAGGCAGCAACCTTCCGAGCAGCAGCAGCAGCAGCAGCAACTCTACCGGACGATCGGCAGTCCGAGACCCTTCGGCGCCGACAAGCCGACTCGCGTTCAGGAGTTCAACCGGACCGGCGTGCTGCATCCCGAGTACCAGATACCGGCGACTATCAGACCCGGCAACGTCTCTCAGTGAGTATTTAGTAGATTGTCTCATCGTAGTAGAGGTTTATCACTGTGATGAAGATTAGTTGGATGGTACGACGAGAGTCGGATATCGCCCGTAATCGTTTTATTGGCGGCGGTGACTGACTCTCTGACGATCTGACTTTGCCTGATTTCGATTATCCGAGATGACTGCTGGTGTGTTTAGTCCGGATAATTATAATACGCTGCACTACTGTTGCGATTCAATCTGCACGAGTGTTCCATTTGGTTTTACTCCATTTTCCTTGCAAATTTCTTAGATTTTAATCAATTTCTGGGAAAGATCGAGTTTACCGAAACTAGAAGGTATATACATCTAGTTTGGACAAGTTTCATCAATAAGATAGTATTATTATAATGTGATAAATTATACATTATGTATTAAAATGTCATATAGCATTGAGTCTTCAAACGTCTTTCAATTATATTATTTGATTTTGCTTTAGAGTATTTTTCTTTCATTTAACACTAATTTATTTTTATTACCTTTTTGTGGCGATAAAGTTATTTATAAGCAACTTGCATTTAATTATTTAATATAATCAATGCAATTACAGGAATGTTCGACATTAAAATTAAATAAAATTAAAAATTGACAATTCAGAATTTTAATAAAATTCTGAAATATGAAATACACAAATTAAAATATCAACCGGTTAAAAGGAGCCAGATGTTAGAAAGAAATTAATTTGGCATTGAAACTAATAATTAATTGTATACGAAGCAAAAATAAAAAATATTCGAATAATTATTTTTCGCGATATAGTTGTGAATTTATAATGGAAGCCAGCTCGTGCGCCAGCTGATCGCTCTTTTCGTTTTCGATGCAAATTTCAGGCGGCAAAGTTAGCACGCGCGATTATATACTCGCGTGCGTACGCTTCTGTGTAGTGGTAGCGAAATATTTAACCAACTATTTTTGAGTGCGTAAATTGTTTGCTCGATACGCGAGCACGCACACAACGAAAAGAGAGAGACAGAGAGAGAGAGAGAGAGAGAGAGTGAACTGCGAGAACGTTTACAGTAACGTCACGCACCCCGTGCCGCGTTTCGTCAACCGTGGCTCGTTCACATAATTCGATGCACGCATTTCGCGTACACGCATAGCGATTCGATATATTCGATCCGCAACGCAGAGAAAGAGTCAATATTTTCCTTTACTCGCGAACGAATGATCATGGCGAGATGTAACGAGCACGTGCGAAAAGCAGATGAACACCGTTCGACGACGAGGGTCGTAAAAGTCAACTTCTAGTTTCACGAGTTCAAAGAAATTTTTTTTAGTTTTACAACTTTATTTCCCTCCAATCCGCGCGAACGTTTGGAAATTTTGCAATAACTACTTTAGATAATAGTGATTCGAGTAGGACCGGAGAACAAGCGGAATGTTAATTGAATAGGAAGAATAATGAAGTCGTTCGATTCACCCTTGCTCGCTTTAATCTACCCCACAAACTGTCTTAATTGAGAGTAATCGTTTATTGCTTATATATGTGGCCGGATAGTCGTTTAAAGTTGAGAGAAAAAAATGAAAACTGCCGACTCTGTTGCACGCGCGATTGAATGGGACGCTAAAATTTTGTCGCTCCGTTATTGTGTCCTTTTGTATGTACATACATCCCTTTACACCCCCTTACAATATGTACCCGGCGTCTAATGGTCCGATCCGTCGCGACGCTACGCATCATAAAATCCTTCTATCGGATGGTTTCCACGAAACTCTGACTGAAGTCGAGGTACAGAATTACACACGTTTCTCTGTTTCTCTCGGCGGTTACAGATTTTCAATTTTACGGAGAACAGACATTTCGAATATTTCTCATTCACGAAAGTCTTTGGAAGTTGAAGAAATGCGCTGTGGAATCTAATGAACACGATGCGAAAGTCTTGAATGATGACTTTACTTTTGCTAAGCGCCATAAATATTCTGCAAATTCTTTATTGTCCAGCTGTTTAAAAAGAACAATTATTATTCGTGCCGTTTTTTAAAAATCGTGAAAAAAAATTTGTAACATTTAATTGCTTTAATAAATTGTAATTGTGCACGAGAACATTTTTTTCGTACTGATAGAGAAATTCAGCTCGATGTGGTAGATGATTTACATCTCTCGACAACAAACAATAAAAGTAGAATTAGATTTGGCGAATTATTAATAGAGACCGTTTCCTGGATCCTCATACCTCGGATATTTTCACGCGTGCAAATGTACTACACGAAGGCCACGACGACACTTTCTACTTCGCTGATACCACATGCCGCGGATTGTTAAATGACGTCTTTTACTGCCAGAAGTGATGATCTCACAGTCAATTTTTTTACGATTTGAAAATGATCATTACATATAAAATCTTGTTCCCCGCAAGCTTACAATCAAATTACAAATTCAATAACTTTTTGAAAAACAAAGTTTCAAATCTTCTTAACGTTCGCAAAAAGACCTTTACTTTCAACCTCTTAAAACTCGAGAGAATAATTGACATATTCTTGATATTTTATAATTATTGCAGAAAATCAATTAAAACTGAATAAATAAAATTATGTATATATCAATTGTAAAAGCACATATTTTAACACCATGTTTTTGCTCCTAAACAGAGAATTAAATATAAATTCAAGTTTGATTCAAATTCATAATACGACCTGGTGATTTTTCGGGAGATTAGACCAATTCCAAATTCAACTTTCAATTTCACTAATATCAATGTCATCGGTGTTATCTCATTTTTCTTGCGACATGTCTAGTCGCACCTTCTCCAGAGGATCACCGCTCTTTGGGATAGAAAAGAGCGTTGACTTGAAAAAAAAAAAAAAAAAAAAAAGAAACCCTACCTATCTCGGTCGCGACTTTCCACGAAACTTGCGGCAGACTCCGGCAGAGAAAACTCCGCGACAAAGAGGGGACAGGGAAGACGAGGGAGAGAGAGAGAAACAGACCGTCTAACAGGATCAATTCGGGGCTCTCCCCGCCTCTCTTTCTTTCTTCCGCGGACGCGACTCACGACGATGATGCTGAATTTAGACCACGGGGGTCGTGGCTGCGCGACCCCAGACGCCGCGACGCCGGCATTGTGCCCCGACGCTAATTTTACAATAGCTGTCTCACACACCGACCGCCAGACGCGCGAAAGAGACGAGAGCACGTGTGCAGCGGCGTCTCGACGTTCTTCGCAAACGACGGCGACGACGACGAAGACTACCAAGACGAAGACGACGGCGGCGGCTGCGAACGGGTTGAGCCGCTCGACATCGACGTAAAAGAGAGAAAAAAAGGAGGTCCCGACGACGACGACGACGATGACGACGACGAGATGCACATGAGGGAGAGCGAGGGCGGTACAGGATGAGCGCAGCATCGTCGAGGCGTAAAGTTAACCGGTGTAACTTTCGCGGGAGGAAGAAGAGAGAAAAAGAGAGTGGATGACCGTAAGAGAAGAGGAGGATGGGAGGTGTATATCGTATCAGTTCGATCTCTCAAACATTGAGTGACTAAATATAACGACACGGGTGGATACACGGTATAATGCACGGTATGCGTGACTTCGTGATGATCGCAACCGACTGACTACCGGGTAATTATTGTCGATTACGATGTTCGCAACATCCGCGCACGTTATCCAGCTGAATTCTGAATTAACGTAGCCGATCGACGCCGATTATGATAACGAGTCGGGTTAAAATCGTGGGTGATTTTTGCGACTTCCTCTGCACGGAGAGAATTTTCTCTTAGAATTTATTCTGAAAATCATGGTAATTGTGTAGGATAATATGATATTGGACGAATTTTATAAGAGTTGAAATTTAGATATTGTACATAGCTCATTTTTTTCCGTGTATACAGAGATTTCTTTGAAAATCATGGTAATTATGGGACAATATGGTATTGGGAGAATTTTATAAGAGTTTCTCTGATTCATATTTTTACTACAACAAAAAATATGAAAATCTACCACAATAAGATATAAAATATGTTCGATTAACTTTACTACGTACATATTAATATTTTTTAATGATAATTATTTAATCCGAGAAACTCTTATAAAGTTCTTTCAATGTATCATATTGCTGATTACCATGATTTACAGCTTAAATTCTAAGAGAAATTTTAGCTAATATTTTTTAGCTATAGAATTCGCCGTTGTTCTCTGTTAAACTGTAGCTAAAAATATTAGTTACCGTAGCCAGTAAATTTTAGGTAGTAATATAGGGACAGCTAAAATTTATCTATAGTAGTTAATTTTTTTCCGCGCCGACACGTGCGGAATGCGGCAAATCCGCAAAGTCGAAGTAAGAGCCCGATCTCGTATACATATAAAGTTATTAAAAATAAAGTGTCATCAGCGAACGGGATACTTCGATGTGTTCCGTTATACAATATCGCGTTTTATTCGACGTTTGCGTACGCTCAACGTGCCGCGAACACCAATATCAAACTGGATGCAGATGAAATTCTTGCAGGTTCTATTACCTGAGCCCACGGGAAGGTCCGCCTCTCACGTTACTCGTTAGCCCGTGCAGCGGCCCGATATCTTGGACGGTCAGTTACGTGGAGCCGCCCGAAAACGATCAGGAAGCGGAAGGAGTGAAGTGTACGGTGAAATTCTGCTCATTCTTATAATAATCGAAAAATAAAGAGCCAGCAACACGCTCAACATTTTGCACCGATATTATTTTCACATCAATATAAGACGCTGCTTATTCGCATCTTGTCGGTAGCTTCATATCTTTATATGATTCGATATAGTAAGATTTTATTCTATTTCACATTTCCTATTTTTTTAAATATATTTTTAATCATTATTTATTGTATTATTTATAATTTAAATTGATTGTAAGATGTTTTGTATCATTTTTTATCAATGATTGAAAAAATCAAGGATAATTTCTTCCCTTATAGCTTCATATCTTTATATGATTCAATATAGGTAGCATTATCTTTTCTTTCTATTTCCTATTTTAAAAAAAGTTTATATCTACAACATTATATTTATAATTTCAATTGATGTAAAATATTTTAATGGCCGTAACTCTTTAGCGAAAATGATTGAAAAAGCCAAGGATAATTTCTTTCCCTTATAGCTTTATATCTTTATATGATTCAATATGGATAGCAGTATCTTTGTTTTCTATTTCTCATTAATTAAAAATTTTTCTATTTCTCATTAACTAAAAAATTGTTTGCCATATTATTTCTAATTTAAATTGATGTAAAATATTTTAATAAGAGTGTACTATTTTTTAATATTTTAAAACTGCAATATATTTTGTTATATTTGAACAACTCTTTAGCGAAAATGATCGAAACGATCAAGAATAACAAAAAAAAAGAAACACATAAGTCATTAGTGTAAGTTGACAAATGGATGAGACGAAGCTCGAATAATCGGGCGGTCCTGCAAACTCCGCAGATCGATCGAATGATTCCGAATCACTTTACCACGTAGTGCAAACGCGGTGGCCCGTGAAGACTCTGAAGCCGGGCTCGCCTCTCTTCACATACGTGGGCGCGGACGACCAAAATTTCACTATACCAAAGACGCGGGCCGGTCTTTACTGGTTCGAGATCAAGTCCGTGGAATCCGCGAGCAACGGCTCGGCGGGAACGGTGCTCCTGTACGCGACGTCCAGCGCCCTGAACCACGTTCCGGGGCTCCTGTACGCGAGCGAGAAGGAGCATCGACATCGCTCGCTGAGATTTCAGCAACGACGCAGCAAACGTCGTCTAACGATATCCTGGAACAAAAGGTACACACAATCTTCCCTTTGAAAAAATCGCGGAAAAGGCCGCATATCCGCTTCATTCTTCGTCCGCGAAGAGTAGAGGACTAAGAATGCATACTTTCGACGATCTTGGTACGCGAGGTTTGAAGAAGAATTTGCATTTGAGACGGAACATTTGTTTTTCCAGCCACGTAGATCCTCACCTGTCAAACTACTGTTTAGCTGTCACTTCGGGCGCGCAGTCACATCCTTCGACGCTTTGCGCCGCGCAGAACGTTTTGAAAACTCATCCGCACGCGACGTCGAGAACCTCGAAGGAGCATCACCATCGGGGCATCCCGGAAGGTCTGCACTGCGTGCGACAGACCAAGCTGACGCTTCATAGGATGAGATACGATACTACGTACAACTTTACTCTATACGTGGTCGGTCTCTTTCGTCAAGTTGAATCGAATCGATCGCGCGAGTTGGTTTTGAGTGAAGCAAAATATAGTCGTAGACGAAAAATGACCGCAAATATTAATTTCTCCAACTCTTTCGTAGAGCAGATTTTTTTATTTATATTCTCTGTCAGAATTACATATTTGATTATAAAGCACTATATTTCGCGTGTTAACGTTATATAAGCTGTTAAGTGAAAAATGTATGTCGTCCAATACAGGTGAACACCCGGAATAACGTTTCTAATCGGGTCGCCATCGACACAATCAGGTTCAAAAAGACGCCGGAGCTGACGTTACGTACCGGTCATTATACTATGGCTAATCTGCGAAAGACAGACGGTTTCGTCAATTTTCGTTATCGCCCTCCGGACAACACCTCGAGCACCTTTCACATACTTCCCTGCGGCGGAGGCATCGTGAAGGCGAAATTGAGCGGGCCAGGGATACTGCGGGTAAAGTTTACGATCAAATGTGACCAATGTCAACTGTAAATCTCAAGAGAGAAAAAGAAAGAGAGAGTTTTAACTTTTAACAATTTGTATACATATGTACATACATAGAACAGCTGAGCTGTCATTAATCGAAATGTTTTATTATTTATTACAAAAGCGTGTTTTATTTGATCGATAGGAAAAGGAGGTGGTTGGATATGCCTCGTTGCGGGTACCTCCTCTACCTTCCGGTAAGACGTACACGTTACGTATATCGACCACACCGCAGGAATTAGTTCGAATATCCACGATAAAAGTGCTAGCCACACAGGAGTCATCATCCACCATTTATCCGCAAGTACGTTACAGACAGAGACAAATTTACATGTGTGTACTATTTTCTATTTTCTTCTGTCTAATGTCACGGAAACAATCATTTTCTGAATGATTCAAATTATCATCCTTTCAAAGGACTTTGCACATTTGGGATTTTATATAAATTCAAAAACTCTACTAATCATATAAAATTAAATCTTGATAAAGTTAGCTAATTTTTCTCATATGTAGCTTATAATCTACTGAACAAAAAATATAATATACTCAAAACTAAATATTAAACAGTTACTGATTTACAGCTAGTTAAATACGAAAAACTTGGGCTCTTCTAATTGTTTGACTAACTGTAACTCAGTAATCACTGTCCAATATTTAGCTTCGCAGCTATTACATCTTTTCTTCAGCAGGACATAAACTACAACATATGAAAAAAGCAGCCAATTCCACTAAAAGCTAAAATCCCATATATATTTGATGGATACTTTACAACAATATAAAAAACTGTGCAGGAAATCGCAGTCATCGATGATGAGCTCGAGTCTCCCAAATCTTGTCCATTCGAAAGCGCGAATTGGACACCGCTATTCTTGATTCGCAGATACCATCCCGAAGTCCGCCACGCGAGTACCGATCTCTGAGAACCTGCCACGAGGTGACGATAGGCGTGGAGCCGGCCGGCGCCGCCAAATATTGCATCCTGGTGAAGGAGCTGCGGAGCTCGTCGTCCTTGACCAGCGTCGCGACCTTGCCGGATCAGTGCGGGCTCCATCGGCGCAGGCGGTCCGAGTACACGTTCGAGGTATGCGAGGAGAAGCACAGCCCTCCGAAGGATCGCGCGCTGCCGTTCACCTTGAGAAGGCTGCAGCCCGGCAAGGCCTATCTCCTGCAGATCACGGCCCAGCTCAAGAGCCAGTCCCTGTCCTATCCGTTGCTGGGTGTGCGCACGCGACGTTCCTGCGTAACGTAATCTAACGCGATTCCTCCGTCAAGGCGAATATACCATATAATAAAGCGACGCGACACCGATAACCCACCGTCCTCTCTCGGTGAGTCTCCGCAAGGTCAGCTTGTTTTCGTTAAACGGTATAATATGGAAGGAGACGAAACCGTCCGCGATATTTCAAGAGAATCGAAATATATGTATCGTAAATTATTTTTTCACAACAATATATATGCGGCTCGAAGTTACGAGCTGTTATAAAGTAATAGATACGCGCGAGAAATTCGCATCGAAATATTTATATCCTCTCTTCAAAATTGTTCTCTGTCAAGGTACAAAAAAAGATAACACGTGCGAAAATTTGAAATTAAATTTTTTTTTACTTCGATAATATATATCTCTTTCTTATTTTATCTTGCTGTTAAATTTGTTCGCCAACTAGAAACATGAGACGAACATCGGGAACGCAGATCGACGTATAAATATAACACGTGTGACGAGAAACCGCTTCCGGATTTCAGAATTTTCGTTCAGCGGCGTATTTCGTGTAGCATCACACTCATCTAGTCTAGATTTTACGACCATGTATAATGTACAACCCGCGGCAAATGCGGAGCAACCATAAAGAGCGTACATCATCATTATCATCGTCATCATCAACGTATATTTTGATATTTGCGTAACACGTGTATGTACATTCTTTACGTAATTATAAGCCTTTTTATACATACACTTTTTATCCTTTATAAATAAGTAAGTTAAATTGAATATTTTTACCACTTTTATGGCTACCTGTGTATCTGTGAACATCGAGGAAAAAGAGAAGAATAAATTTTGGGGACAAATAATGCGAGATTTGTAATAAAAAAAACACATTTTACACACTTCGTTCAAGTAAAAAAAAAATAAAATACAGCTACCTTCGTTCTTCTATCATCATTATGACGAATCGAGATCAAAGTTCCATTTCGATCAGTCTGAGAAGTTTTTGACCGGGTGAATTCGGCGGCTCTGTCTTCAGCAGCGAGGCTGCTCTGGAAAGATGAGCTCGCTTGTTCTCACCAGGGCACGACGCGAGCTCTCGCAAAGTAACCGCCGTATAAAGTGCCAAACGTGCACCATAAGGATCCAATTGGGTTACCGTATCTAGGATGAGCTTACATAACTCGGACTTTTGTGGACTGCTCGGTGGTAACAATTGTATCAGTGAATGACTCACTGATATGCAATGCTGATGACCGGGATGTAACAGCACCGTCAACCTAAAAATGAACAAGACGTTTAATTTTTACACATAAAAATTATAAATGCTTAATACAATACAAATAATACAATATGATAAATAATAGCAATCATAAATCATAAACAAATAGAATATGTCAATGTCTTAAATTTTTAAAAATCTATGCAATTTCTCAAGTAGAACAGAAAAGTCAAAATGATGTCAATTTGTAATAAGTTATATTGACCAAATTTGGATTCCAAAAAAAATTTCTGTTCTACTTGGGTTAATTCTTCATTAAATAGTGATGATAAATACGCTTTTTAACTAACGCGAATAAATAAATATTGGAGGACGACAGACGTTACTCTACCGTGACAAAAGCTCAGATAAAGTGTGTTCGGTCGCCTGTTTCATGACCCCCGTGACTTCCTCCTCCAATCTATCCGTTAATTGCGCAACTTCCGAGGACGTCACTGTTCCCGGACACACGTTGCAGGACCAGTCGGTGTCCGAGTCCAGAGAATCGTTCGGTAACATGAGTCCTTTCTTGCAAGGGCACTTCAGAGTCCCTAAATGCGTGCCCAATTCCGCGGGATCGGCGCAACGTTTGCATCGACAAGCAAAATACTTGGTAGCGAGAAGATGCTCCCGTCTGATCCTGGTGGACCAAAGCGCGTGGGTGTACATGGTACTCAGGTGTTCCCCTCTGAAAACAGAGTCGTAATAAATCATCTTTCACACAAGATGTGATTTGGAAAATTAAGAAAGACGAAAAATGATCTTGAAGGGAAATGAATACCTACTTCTTAACGAACGTGACGGCGTAAATCGCGATACGTGGCCTGCCTTTGTCGTCGATGCGGAAGCTGTGTCGAGTATTCGCCACGCAAGAGTGCTCCAGAAGAGACGCGTTCTCGTAAATCGCTACCGAGCCTTCGGGCGGCATGGTCTCCAACGCGTTCACGTCGATCAGTCCGCAGATCTTGGGCAAAATGTCCCAACAGTCAGAGGCCATCGTCAAGAGCGGCCCCAAATGCTGACTTATCCTCGTCACCTCGGCGTGAGCCTCCGTGCCGGGTCCCCGCGAACTCTCGTGACTCTGCAGCTCGGCCAAGGACGTCCAGCGTTTCGATCTTGTCCGCCACAGTATCAGCATACGAATCACCAGCAGAACTTCGCATCTGCGGGACGCAGAGTCATGAATCCGCGAAGTTAACGATGGGACGAAGACAAGTGTGACTTGAGAAACGCTCGCGTCTAATGTTTCACGACGGCTCGCGCGATTAAATAAATTTCCCCAAACCCCTACCTTCATTAAAAGACATTTCGCTAATTAAGGCTCGAACTTATTTCTGCCTGGACATTATTGGTCGGGACACGCGATATACCTGGGAATGATTCTAGCGCGCGCAAGAAGAGCGCACTCGGACCGGTGCCTCTTTTTATCGGACAGTCCCTCGCAATCGGGTCTGCAAGCGGGCCAGAGGCACCCGCGGCATCTCGCATCCACGTCATCGCATCTCGACCCGCAGCCGACGCAGATCCACTGCGCGACGCCGTGCGTCGACGGTCCCCAGACCAAAGGCGCCTCCGACAGGATCGCGTCCCCCGGCGCCAGGTCCCGGGTCGCCAGCAAGTGTCGCCCGAGTTCCGGATCGCGACCGATTTTCCAGGCGATGCACCCGGACCTATGACGCGGCCAGTCCTGAGACTGATGCGACTTGTCGCAGTAAAACTCGCGTCTGCAGCTGCCGCACTTCAGGGTGGCCTTTTTGCCGCACACCGGACACACGCCGTGACTAGGAGCAGAACTTTCCATGCTCGATTTATTTCCCCGGAGATTATTTAGCAGCGAAGGCTCTGGATTTCTGGATCCTCTATCTTGTCTGCAGCATCCGATACGTCAATTAATTTAGAACTGCAAATTAAAAACTGGACTTTGCACTTTCTGTCGATTTTTTTTATTTATTTTATCTACTTATTTTATTATTATATTTTTTTAATTTGAAAAAGAAAATTGATTGGACTTTCGAAATTATATATCTTACTCACTCGTTCGATTTTTTCGGCCTAAATCGGAATTATTCATTACGGAAACATCATGCACTAGCCGCTAACTTTATCGCACTGAACAGCTTAGCATTTCCTAAGCACGGCGGCTATGTTTAATTATAGGCCGGACGTACACGTTACTATTTTAAGGCTGCGGAAAGGAAGAGTTTTGACTGATGCATATAAATCGCGCGAACGCATAAATCATTTATGTTTTATATTCAATATACATATATTTTATTATATTGTAATTTCTTTCTATCACTCCTGAAAAATATGTAGAACGATTTTATGTATTTAGAACAAATTATATTTAGGACAAATTATGTACAGGGTGTGCCATCGAAAATTGTTGAAACTAATCAGCTGTCATTTTTTAATGCATACAGTTATTGAGAAAACAAAAATTGTATTGGAAAGAGGAAAGTCTGTAGTTTTTAATGGATATAAATAAAATGTTTGTATACCAATTTATTTTATTGATAAAAAGTAATGAAAAAGTGCTAATAATTACAGAAACTATAATGATAAATATTATTTATTACTTTTTTCAATAAAATAAACTGATATACGAACATTTTATTTATATCCATTAAAAACTGTAAACTTTCCTCTTTACAACACAATTTTTGTTCTCTCAATAACTACGCACATGCATTATATAATACCGATATATATGTAGTAGTATTAGATATAGTAATGATAAATTTATCTCAAACTCATAGCACGGAAAAAATAAAATTATATTTTCTTGTAAATTTTATTTCAACTAATTGAATCAATAACTATCTCAGGATAAATTAATATGAAATCGCAAAACTGGAAATAACGAAGACAATCTAGATAATATTTCGATTTATTATTAAACGTGCCTACATGATACAAATCAGGGGACAACACAATCTCATTATCGCTTTATGACGTAGTAAATATGTTTTCTCCTTTGCGTGTGAATTTGTATATGTATGTATGTGTGTGTGTGTGTGTGTGTGTGTATGTGTGTGATGAGAGTCTAATAATTATTACACCTTATCTATAGGGGATGGGGATTAGTTTAACGATGTTCACCAGATACGGTACACAGACTATCACAAAGTTGATTGCTGGTTCGGGTTCGTACATGGGTGTTTCTAAAATGATCACAGCCGCGAGCTGAACGACATAAAAGTGAAGAACGCGCATCCAAAAGCGCGGCATCATTTTTTTCTATATATTATATTTTACTATATTCGACTCTCTTTAAAGTACGTTTTCTTTAGAAAGGTCGTCGATAATCCGCGATACGTATGATATATATAACATTTGCCACAATATATTCTTTCATCCTTGATATCAGCTGATCCTGTCAATTTTCTCTCAACCATCTCGATTTTAATTTCATCGCAAGGATCATTACGTTGAAATTATAGAAAAATCAATGTTATCGCACTGTGGAATTAGAACAAAGAGACACCTCTCTCTTTCTCGAAATAAATTGCCAGAATCTCAATTTTTGATCGGGGATTCTCTGGCGTACTATAACAAGATGTTAAAAACTTAGATCGACAAATTTTGAAGGGAAATAGAAGATTGCAAAATAAATATTTTTTATTAATACTATTTTTCTCTACGTTTATAATTTTATATACTATATGATATGAAATAGGAGTTTGTAACTTAAACGATAAATAGTATTAATAAGTGGAAAAATTAAATTATATTTTAATCTTGAAAAAAAAAACAGAACACAAATATATAAAAGTAATTCACTCTTTTTACAATAAATGCTCAAAAATTGCTCCATTAACTTCAATACAAAAGATGGCAAACTGAAAAGTCACAAACTCATATCTTATAGTATTAAACTAAACATTGCGGAAAAGTATAAGCCTTAACAAAAAAAATGTTATATACTATATGGTATGAAATAGGAGTTTGTAACTTAAACGATAAATAGTATTAATAAGTAGAAAAATTAAATTATATTTTAATATTAAAAAAAAACAGAACACAAATATATAAAAGTAATTCACTCTTTTTACAATAAATGCTCAAAAATTCCTCCATTAATTTCAATACAAAAGATGGCAAACTGAAAAGTCACAAACTCATATCTTATAGTTTATAGTATTAAAACTAAACATTGCGGGAAAGTATAAGCCTTAACAAAAAAAAATGTTGATTAAGTCTTCTTTTTCCCTTCAAAATTTGTCGATCTAATTTTTGAACATCCTAAAATCGATCTTGTAAAACTTTTGACATCGCGATTTATTATACTATATCGGATCCACATCTCGGTCGTTCCAATTCCACCGTATCGAGATTATAAAAAATTAGATGGATACACTTAACGCTTGTATGCAATTTAGAATGCACCCGGTACGTATGTAGCATCACTTACGAAGTTATGAGTCGCTCATGAGAATGACACTATTTCATTTTTTTTCCTTTTTTTCTCTTTACACCTTATTTATACAAATACAACGAAGACACCGTTAATTTTTTTCTTTTATATTTTCTTCACATATTAAGAATATATTTCCTAGGTACTCTGCGATGGCATGCGACCGTCCGTAAAAATAAAATCCGCCGGTCTCACTCGCGTGACGGCGTCGCGCTTTAAAATGATAAATAATAATAAATAAAAATAATAATTAAACCAAACTAGATCTCTCTAGACGTAAGAAACGAGATGCTCGTCGTCGACGCGCGAGAGGACACGAACGGATCTTTACGCCTCGCACGTCATCGTCATATCTCGATCTCGGTATATCACTCTAACTGCGCTATGCAAATGTGTGTGTATGTGTGTTTTGTGTGTGTATATATATATATATATATTTATATAGAATGCATTATACAAACTCGCCGCGCGGCTTGCAACCGCGTGTGACGGAAACACCGAAGCACATGCAAAACAACTCAAATATAACACAACGCCGGCTTCCCTCCTCTCTCTCTCTCACTCTCCCATAAATAGAATAAATATTCGTCTTTATGTACAAATGGTACTTCCTCCGTAAAGGATGTTTGTGCTTACGTAGGCCTGCACTCTCGCCGTGCGTTTAGCGTTAAGAGCTCGTTTTTGCATCGATAACACACGCCCTTTATTCCGTTTTAAGGTCGCTCACTCTTCAGAGATACAACGTAGAGAAAGGAATTTCGATAAGCCCCCGTGATTATGTAAAGACCAACTGAGAATTGGTAGATGCAGCTGATATCTTAAAAATATGAATACACGGGAAAAAAATTCCTATAAACATGAGTCCAGATATAAAAATTAACAACCCCATATCTCCTCAAAATTGGATCAAATTGTAAAAACCACATAAAAATGAAATATTCACTACTAATTATTATGCAATGCAAAATTTCAACGGTCTGTGAAAATACTTTTTTCGATTTTTTCTTCCAACTTTAGACTAATAATTCGGAAAAAAGCACATATTTTGGATTCATGTTTATAGAAACTTTTTTTCTTATTTTGACCCCTAGAATACGTTTTCAAAATCTCTGACATAGTTTTAAAAACACTAATATATAGTTATTTCATCGAGAATTGTTCGAAATGAATTAGGCGTAGCGCTAAACGCACGATGAGTTATTGCTCTTAAAAATGTAACACATCTTGTCCGCTTCTAGCTTGTGCAGAATCCTTCGCGGCGATTGTTTGACAGAACGGCGACGATCGAACTTTGCCCTCTTTTTTTCCATTGTATATCAAAATATATCAAAACGGTGCGAAACTAGAACAATCAATATTATTCAATATGTTGTTTGAAATGTTTATCTCTGTGACTGACATACATTTACATGATTTTCTTTATACTTTCAAGCTGTAGAATAACGTCGGTTGTTGTAGTTTCGATATATCGGTATATCGTGTCCCACTCGACGATAAAAATCTGCGAGATATAATTTGAATATTTGAAATTAGTGAATATTTCAAACACAATTTCAATTTCCTTGCAATATTAATAATATATTAATATATTGATATGTATCAATATATATTAATATATTATATTATGTATATAATATATTAATTAATATATTGATATTGCTCAGAAAAAACAATTGCTCAAAAAAAAAACTCAGAGCAAAGCAATTTGATGAGATCCCATAACAGATTCCCATTTGCCACGTGGGACTCGTATCGATTTGTTCTGCACGCGTGCACGAAAAAAGATAAAATATGCGTGCACCGCAGAGATTTTACCGTTAATAAATTAACATTTTATTCATAGTCTGTTTTGACAAAACGAGTGCGGTCGGTCTTAAAACGCCGCGAAACGGGAAACGCTCTCTTAACGCTTTAGCCTCGATGATTATGCAATATGTAAAATAGATTATTTGTTTGCTTATTTCGCAGTGGGGTAGGGGAAGAGAACGCTTATATTATGACATGCGAATATGTTGTACGGTCATCGTCAAGGGGGGGACGAAGGGGAGAGAAGGGGGAGTAATTTCGTCATTACGACGACATTATCGTATGGCACTAGGTGTATTAGCGTTTCCGTTAATTAGTCTCCGAAGCACTGCCCTCGCGTAAAATGCAACTCATGCCTGGTACAAAAAATGAGATTCCTTCGCTAGCTCCTTCAGTTATCTTATACGGTTTTGTTTAAGAAATGTGCGCGCGTGATCTCACAATAAGAGTATTGTACGTTTCGAACGGGGTAATAATGTTCTCTCTTTCTCTTTTAATTAGCCTCTTGCATCCACTCTCTCAGAATTATTTGTGTTTTAACGAACTCTACAAGATCTCGTATTCCCAATTTCCTGAAACGCACAACTCCGGTAGTCCGTGTGTGTGTCTTATATTTACGAAACTAGTATCTTTTTGTAAACGAAGGCCACTGAATACAGAATCTACTGCAAATATTAAGATTACTCGTAGAGAATATTTCGAGAACGAATCCCTCGAATATTTCAATGAATTAAACGACGTTTTGACAGACAAACTGGTTTGACAGATCGATGCTGAAATTGTCGGCGTCGTTTAAGTCATCGCGCGCGAGAGAATTAATTCTCAGACTCATAAACGTTTACTGAACTTTGAGCGCGTCACGCTGTAAAGATTGATTATTTGGACGTATTTCCGTCAATACACGCATTTACGGATTGTTTAAACGGACATTTCCTGAAACTATACACTTCTTCGTTTAATTCTTAAAACTATAGTTACTAACACTTAGGCCTCGCTAAAACAATACGGCCTGCTGTTTTGAGATCGTCGAGGGGGAGGAAGGGGAAATAAACGTCTCGCTTGCGTTTTATCTCTCCGCAAAAGACAATCGCATAAGTGGGATCACGATTTGCGATACGAAATAGGTGGCTCGAACAATCTATAAGCTAACGCAACTTAAAATACGATACGTGTAAAAATCGATATAAAGTGATATTTACTAATTCAACTTGAATAAAAATTATAATTTAAGCTATATTTGATGCAACTTAAATTATTAATAGCAATATATAATTTATAGTATTATATAATTTATAGCATCATATAATTTATAAATTGTCAACAGAAAAAATGTCTCGAAAGAAAACTTATACAATTCTATTCCACTCATTTTCAGTATAAAAAACGAGCAAATTTAGAGAGTAGACGGGAATTTTGTACTATTGATTGAAATAGTGTTCACAATGCTCTCTTTCTCTTTTACTTTCTCTCACTCTCTCTTTCTCTCTCCCTCTCAGTCTCTCTGTTAAATAAAAGATATCTTAACAGAGAATTAAATTTTCGGTTCGAGTCAAAAGCATTATTGACTGATCACAGCATCGCGTATTGTCGCATCACCACATTTAATGTATATAGAGAGCCCTAAACAATTTTTTTTTTGATTCGATAGAATTGCCATAGCGAGACACGGATACCAATTGACCATTGTCTAAAAACATGGAATTATGGCAGTTTGACATTAAAACCGAAATATCGAATTTCCACAAAGATTCATCTTACGACCACGATATCGGCTGGATGGACAAAACACAATTTTTTAAAAAAGCATACAAACACGAAATTAATGATGTTTAATCCGTTAACTGCCATACTTGCTGTGTGTATTTTGCAATTAATTTATTAATGTAAAATAATAATTAATAAGCGAGGAATATCCAACGATTTCAACTTACCTTTACTAAAATTAATCATGCGGTTTTATAATAGAAACAAAAAGTTACATACATACATTGCATAGAATGGCAGTGAACGAGTTTAGATATTTAAAAACTTTAAGTCTCTCTTGGCTCCTTGCTGACAATGTTGGAATTATGACGTCAGAGGTGAGAAAACACACTAAAAATTCTTACATGCCATTTCAAAATGAAAAGATATTTCGATGAAACAGCACTTCAGATGACTATAGCACATTCTTAAAATATTTCAAAAACTATCCTTTTCCCTTTATAATAAATCAACATTTGTAAAATGACTGTAATATAAGGTCAAATCTGTATGGTCTTTGCACATTCCACATAACAAAGTCTGATATCACATCATTTTACGGTTGTTGATTGACTGTCAAAAGAAAAAGTTTTTCGAGATATTTTAAAAGTGTTAAAGCCATCTGAAATAATGTTTCGTCGAAATATTTTTCCATTTAAAAATGGTATCCAAGAATAATTTTTAGCGTGTGCTTTTTCACCCCTGACGTCATAATTCCAACATGATCAATGAGGAGTCAAAAGCCTTAAAGAAAGATTTTTAATTCTCTTTCTCTCGCTTTATAACAGTTTGCTACGTCCATTTTTAACATTCTCCAAATGTAAGACGGGGAGGAGAACAACAAAATCTAGATAAATGTTCTACCCTACCAGTTGATACATAGAAATTCTTGCATAAAATTCCAGCCTCTCTTTTTATATTGCGCATGTGTGCACACATTGAATGAAACTAAGACTTGAAATTCTCTTAAATGCGGGTTTCGAATACGGCCTTACGTGTTACAGCAATAAGATCAGCATGTAAACATTGGTTAAATCGGAAATGTCCCGATCCGATATAATCGTACTACATTCTAAGCAATTCCAAAAACAATGTGTACGGTGTCCACACACATCCTTATATAATGTGTCTTCTCTAATGGTTTCATTTTATATTATATTATTTATGTAATCTTTAGATTTTTTTGTTATTTCTTACGACGCGTAAACGTTAAGTTGAGAAAATAATTTTTTTTTGTTTTATATAACAAGCAAAATGTTCAACTTGTTTCTTCATAAATATTCAATTTTCCATAAGTCTTCTTTATGGGGTTCAATGGTTCCAGCAGAAACACTTAATTTGCACGTATTTTATTTTACTTTTTTTTTTCATTTTAAGTTCGTCCTTTTCCCCGTCAACGCGCGCAGAGTGCATGAACCACTATCTACTCGAAAGATCTGTTTTTTAATCACTGGGTCCAGAACCATTGTACATTAATTGTTACTTATTGTATTACGTCCAATGCTGAGCATGTTGCAACGCTAAGAGCATCCGTAGAATATCATCAGCTAGAAAGCACAAAGAGTATTCTAATGTCTTCAGAACGTCTTATTAGTAAGTGCTGAAATGTTTCTAGCTTGCTTTGGTTTTTTTCAGTCAATTCTCTCGACGTTCCGAGGATCATTTCGAGGATTACACTTGACAGTATTTTCCTCCTGTAATATCCAGCTCGTATTCGTTCTGTATTTTATTCTTCATGTTATTAAGCGAGGACTGTGCAAACCTTCCACCTGAGTATCAATTTGAGGACAATGTTGTGTATCAGGCGGTCCCCAATCGTGCAAATTTCCACTGTTAGCTAATCTGTGCGTAAGTCGATGTGCTATTGAGAAACCTCCACTACCTTCCAATTGCGTTAGAACTATGATGACTTGTCTGGAAAGGAGTGATTGAAAATAATGTAAAATATAATCTCGTATCGAACGAAAAACAAAGTTCAATGATATCTCTCACCTATGAAGGGGGGGAACACTATCGGCAGTTCTGAGTTGTCCTCTCGTGGACACGACGTTATAGCTTTCATGGCAGTCGCATTTTACGTGAATCCATTTATTCACATGACGATTTTCGACCATTACAACTAAACCGGCCCATCCTTTAGTTAAATAATAGGCAGTCATACCTTCTCTACCCTGTTTTCAACAAGAATTCAAGCAATTATTTTTATTAATACAGTGTTAATATTAATATATTATTATGTTATAATAAATATTATATAATGAGTGTGTTGCTTACTTCGTGCCGTTGTCCTTTAGCCAATGTTAGGCTTATAATAGCATCAGCTAAGACAAAAGCAGGCGGTGATATCTGCTCGACCAGAAGCCTTTTTGAACTATGAATGGCAAGAACATATTCTGGATAACTGGACGTATCTTCCATTCCAGTGTGCCAATGATTAAAAGCCAAACACACAACGATATAAAGATCCCTCTCCAACATTTTATGACAGCCGACGAAACCGCGTACTTGCCGCTTACTGTGCTCTACTAGTCTACCAACTTCCGGAGCAGCCGGAGATCTCGTGCGAAAGACTACCACGCACAAATCCAGTTGAGAACGTTGCGACTTTTCCGAATTTCTAAAATAAAATTATATATTTGTATTATGTATTGTACAAGATATCCCATAGGAAATTGCTAAAACTAATTAGCTCTAATTTTTTTAATACATGCAGTTATTGAGAAAAGAAAAATCGTGTTGAAAAAAGAAAAGTCTATAGTTTTTTTTATTAGCACTTTTTCATTATGTTTTACCAATAAAATATACTGGTATACAAACATTTTATTTATATCCATTAAAAACTGCAGACTTTCCTCTTTCCAACATAATTTTTATTTTTTCAATACCTGCATGCATTAAAAAATGACAACTGATTAGTTTCAGTAATTTCCTATGGAACACCCTGTAAATATGCTTGCTCAAAAGTAGTACAATAATCTTACCTCTGACCCTCTTGGAACAGCGTAAATTCCGTTTCGGTGGGTTCCAACACTGTTAAAAGGACGCACGACAAATGTCTAAGGGACGACAACGGAGGAAGAGTGCCACGTAATCTCACTTCGCTCCATCCGACTCTTGTCTTACAAATGTCAATGCAATCAAAATACTTTAGGACGTCATCGAAGGATATCCAGAAGACACCATCCGAAGCACCATGCGGCATAAGCATCTCTCGTAATTGCAGAGTCCATATAGGACTATCATCCGACCAATCGCCTTTCCAACTATAGTGACCCCAAGGATTACGTAATCGTAACAACCGTATCCCCTGTGTAATTTAATAAATTTCTTTTATTATCGAGACGATAAGTGCGATATAACATATTTCAAGCCAAGTCAATTTAAGACTCCTAGATTCTCGCCGAAGCCATGTTAGATTGTGACATCAGAAACGAGAAAGCATACGCTAAAAATTCTTAAATGCAATTTTTAAATGAAGATATTTCGATGAAACAACTGTTGATTGATCATAAAGAGAAAAGAATAATTTTCGAGGTATTTTAAGAATGCGCTAAAACCATCTGAAGTGCTGTTTCATCGAAATATCTTTTTATTTCGAAATAACATCTAAGAATTTTTAGTGTGTATTTTCTCGCCTCTGACGTCACAATTCCAACATGGTCGGTCAGGAGCTAGGAACTTTAAATGCTAAGCTAGGTACATCTGTCTGAAACTTACCTGTACATCACGAACATCGAGGACAGAATACGCATGCCTGGAAAAGACGTGCATTTTAAATAGAAACGATCAGCAAAAAATAAAGTACATTAAACTCAATAACATGAATAAAGTAAATTTTCAATTTACCTGGGCCTTAAACCCTTACGTTGATATTCTTCTTCGTCAACCTTCATATTACCTCCTCCGCAACTAGCACCCATTAAAAACATAGCCTGTCTCGAGGACAAGAGTTGTGCCCATATTAGGTCCCTATCAAGTTCGTCTTCGCTTGGCAATGCTGAAGGTTGTAAAGGCACGCTCTCACATGGGGCACCAGTTAACGTCGCTAGACCTTCTATGGCACGGCCGGATACCAAAGCTTCGTAACAGCCGTGTATTTTAGCAACTGCTTTCTCAATTAGCGGCACCCACAGTTGTTTTCTTTTTGCCTTCAACATGCGTAAAGATGCACATGTCATTAACAATGTCACAAATAAGAATAAAGCGGATTTGTAAATAGATATAATGAGATATATCCACATCAAATACTTCATATGTAGTATTTACAATGCGTAACATACAGACGAGATATACCTGAGAGTACACTAAGTGACCTCTCTTATCACAGGGTAATAGATCATCAACGAGCACCGTCGTCCATTTTCCATCTTTACACAGTCTAACTTGGTAAGCACCTTCGGGGCATGTCTCCTTCATGACCAGAACTCTTCTCACGAGCTCGTCACTTTCAGCAAGAACAGCCAGAGCCGATAGTAACCAACAATTTCCTAAGACACCTTGCGAGATATCAGAGGGTAGGGGTGTCCTAAAGACAGCCCAAGGCAGTTTAGAATCGACACTTGAGTCCACGTTAATTTGATGTGGCCTTCTCCATTGGACGACGTGATTATCCTTTGTATCCGCAGGATTATAATACAAAGATTTTGGAGCTGGAGGAAACGAATCATCGACGAACGGCTCATTGGTCTACAAAATAAATGTGAAAAGTGTAGTTTAGTTTTTATTACAACAATTTACAATGCTTGTAATCACACACTCAGGATGCTTTAGATTCCTGTCATTACCTCTTTGCAATATCGTACAATACGCTCCCATTTTTCTAACGCTTCTCTCTCCTCTAGCTGCCTGAGATTTTCCATCACCACGCTCTCTTGCCGCTGTATTCTAAGAGTACTAGTGCCTGATTCAACAAGCCTAGGTATCCCTCTATCTCCAGACATTTGAGACAGCGACTTCGAGCTTTGGCACATTTCGCAAAGAGCAGTCGTACTCTTGTTCTCGTAAGTGCACAATTTACATTGCCACTAAAATATGTAAAGAAAATTGTAGAATAAGACAAAACTGGTAATGCTGTATTAGCTAAACAATAAGAAATGAAATAAAACAAAGTAAGAACTCTGGTAAGAATCGGCAAGCTAAGAATTATCGTGTGCAAATAACAAATTTCTGAGAATTCCATAAGAAAGATGCTAACTTGAGTATGCGAAGGATCTCTGGTCCTCGAGTGCCTTTTGTCGATCGCCGACGAACCGTTTCTCCTTACAGAATTTCTGTGCCTCGGGGTAACCGCTTTGGAATTCGTCGGGGTCGAGCAGAGCCTCGGGCTTGGACTCCGCTGACCCAGAACTCTATTATCTTTCGGAACTTCGAGAAAATCCGCCAAGGTCTTGCAGGCGTTGCAGTTTTGCGTCGAGAGTGGATTCCTCAGCGTGCACGACGGACACACCCAGCTCTCGCCCTTTCGCAGAGTGGCATCCTCCAGATGCATGATGCTCTTCAGCTTCGAGCCGCAGCAAGCTTCACACGTTGTTCTCGACGCGGCATTCAGTAGAGTGCACTTTTTACACGTCCACACCGGCGACGGCGGATCGATCTGATCGTCCAGATCGGATTCCGCCGTGGCCAGGGTGGCTGACTTGGGTGGTATGTATCTAACACTGTCCCTCGACACCACAATCGGCGATTGGGCGTGCGTCGGATAGCTAGTCGTGTCCTTCGTGACGGTAATCAAGCTGGGTTGCGTCAACGACGGGGGCGACCTGGACGAGCCGCAAATGTCGCAACCGCTGGACCACAAGGGGTTGTACGCGTAAGAACACTTTCTGCAAGTCCACATACGCTTGAGCGGACTCATGTTCGGTAGATCGCTCACCGGACTGGTCGCCTCGCTGTGCGCCTTCGTCGGCACGAGACCTAACTTACTGCTCTGTTTCTTTGGCAATGGCGGGGGTATATCGGGATCCGTGATCCCGATATAGGAATACTTTGGTCTTGAGTTGAAGCCGATCGAATGCGGCGGTACCGCGGGCGGTTCCTCGTCGTTCAGACTTCTACGATTCACAGTCTTCTTCTGTGTCACGTTCGCCACGGAATCGGCGTCGGAGAAAGATCTTCTGTAGGACAAGGGTCCCGCGGACGATAACGCGCGCGGCACCCAAGCTGGTACGCTGATAACCACTCCGCTGCAAGGCGCGGGACTCCTAGGAGCGTCGCAAGCCTCGCACTGCTCCAAACCTGGCGCATTATCCAACGTGCAATTGTCGCAGCTCCACAAGCCATCATCCTGACGCGCTTCCGGTACCACCAGGCTCGTGGGTCTTTGTACCACGTGGTCCGATAATTTTTGAACGACCGAACCGTTTGACAGCGAGCGACTAACTTTAGACTTGACCCGTTCGTACATAGAAGGACTGTGTCGTTTCGGAGAGCGTTGAGAGGTATCGGTGTTATCTGTATACGGAAGCGTAGTGGACTCCATCGCTCCAATTGATGGTAAAATCCAGTCTTTACGGTCCACTCTTTGTCTCTCGTTTCGGCTTATACTTGTCAACTGTGCCATACCTGGAAAATTTTAAAGCAACGATTCAATGATGTGTCAAATGTGCATTTAAATTAATATATACTCATATAATATATATTACTATATATTATAATATACACTTATAATAATATATAAATAAATGATACGAGTATATAATACAATAATAATGGTAAAAACTCACCCGTATTATTAATTTTAGCATTATTACCAGAACCGCTCGTACCAGCATTCGCAGGTAGAATATTAGGCAGAAATCCAGAGGTGATTTTTAGACGGTTTTCTTTATGCGGATGAATCTTTTTGCTCTTGCGTGCACCAATCTTCTTTCCGTCGATTCGAGCTATTGATGCATTGGCATCACAAGCCGCGCAAATCAATGAACTGCAGTTATTGTCCAATAAACATCGAATACAAGTCCATTGTGTATTTAAAGAAGGTAAAGACGAAAAACGTTGCAGCGATTTCCTCTCAGATGAGTTGCCATTCCACGAACCACAATGTAAATTTTTTTTAACGTTGAATGCAGACAGATATCTCTCGGAGCTGCAAGTTTATAGGAACACATGACGCATGAGAATATAACAAAACATTTTGCAACAGTATTACAAAAAAAGAAAACATTGCATTCTAAGAACTCAATCATAATGCATGTGAGAACGTAGAAAAAAAAATAGAATCATAATATGACATTTGCCTCATATAAACAAAAACAGGCAATATTATATTTACTATTAGAAAACTAAATTTCTTTAATAACTTAAAAAGACCTACTATTACCTAATATCGCCATACATGAAGTTTGTTAACTCGATGTAAGCAACTCTCAACATAAGTAAAAACATGCAGAGACTAAACAGAGAGAGACATAACAGAGGGAAATAGATCTAAATGCAGCTAACATGATCTTATTATGCTTCACTGCTCAACATAAACATGACACACATATTGATAATCGGATAATCACATTTAATACCAAAATAGTACGGATCCAAACAAGTCATAGTTATCCCCATAGAGTTTGACAAGAGAGATCGCCGGTTCCTCGAGGCATAACACGAACACGCATGGGAGGGAGGGGGAGGGAAAGGGTAGGGGATGAAATCGCGACCCTCACCCGTTAGTAACAGCGCGTCGGGATTCGTCGCGCTGGCCGACAAGTAACGATGCCGTTTCCGTGAGGACGTTGCGCGCCGCCAATAATCGGTCCGTCCTCGGCGGCGGCGTCGGCGGCGTCGATTCCCCGGAGGTGGCGGACGACGACGACGACGATGTAGTTGACGACGACGACGTCTCCCCGTCCTCTGTCCCCTCGCGTCCTCCCCTCGCCGCTGCTCGTCCGCTACGCTCCGCGGCGAGGTGGCCGCCGACCCTCTCGTCGCTCCTGAGCCGCGTCAGCCCGCACCTGGCGCATCTCGCGCTCTCCGTAGGATTTATCAGGGCGCACTCCGAGCAATGCCACTGCAGCACCGACGCGATCGAGCCCATTCTCCACGCGTAGTCATGGCTCCCCCGCTGGCGCCGCGCTAATATATCACCGCTATGTCACCCCACGTCGGTCGGGCAACGACGACGACGACGACGACGACGACGATTCTCCGACCCCTGGACAAAGAGAGAGACAGTGTCGTCGCGCTGCCACCGAGAACACCCACGCGCGCACGGATACACACGGATATATACACGCACTTCTCGTTCTCTCCTTCCTCTTGTCCTCTTCTGCCTGTCGCCCCGTCGTCTCCGTCGCACCAGGAGGTACGCGACGACGCCCCGACGACGGGCGGCGGTTAACAGCGACGATCAGCTGTGCCGCGTCCACCACGCCGCCGCGAGGATGTCGCCGTCATCGGATGCCGCGACAGGAGCCCGCCGTTCTTTGTCATATGTTCCGCGACGGCCATCTTTCCCGTCGAATTCCCTCTCCGTCGAGAACTATCCCTCTCGTTCCCCTTGCGTTCTCCCAGGAACGGCCGAGCGAAGTTTCGCGCCCTGATCCCTGTCGATCGTATTTTTTAAATTGATATATATATATATTTTTTTTTTTTTTTTTTTAATAATCTAAATATAATAAAAATAATTTATAGAAATCTTTATAGAAATAATATAAGAATTTTTATATAAATATGTAAATAATTTTATATAATTTTTATATAATAGAATTGATTAATATATAAATATAATAAATAATTATTTTATTTATTATTTATATAATTATATAAATAATTATAGAAATTATATAAAATAATTTATACAATTTTATAAACAATTTTATATAAAAATTTATATAAATAATCTAAAATTCACAATTATATTTATTATTACAATTTATTTTGTGAGAATGTTTTCTGTATGGATGATAGCAAACAAAATAGTAGATCCTAACAATAGTCAATAAGCATATGTTCAATGACACATATTTGAAATTTAATTGAATATTTTTGTTGTGAATTACTTTTGAATTAATATAAAAAAATTATAAAATTGTATTATATATACATTACTGGATGTTATAATTGCAGCGAGTGCTAGCGGCATCTGTCAAAGAAACGATGAAAGATGTGTAGCCTCTATTACAGCAAGCAAGCTATTGAGTTCACCAAGTCCCTGTGGCGCAGAGGATAGCGCGTTGGACTTCTAATCCAAAGGTCGTGGGTTCGATCCCCACCAGGGATGCGCGAGCGGGATATCAAAACCGTTTGTATATTTTTTTACACACGCTTCCTATTATTTTTAAAGGTTCGAAATCATAAATGAATAAAAATAAAAATATATTCAATAACAAACTTATTGTTTTCGTATTTTTGTATTTTAAATATAATATTGCGAGAGAAAGAATATTTACATATTTGTTTTCGTAAGTTTTATATGATTATGTGAATATATAAATATAGATTTTAGATCACAATAATTCATACCCTATACCTCGCATATTATATCGCGTATATAAGATTATGACGTCAGCAGTGTTACGTTGGAAGGACGTTCGATTTTATTTTACGTAAAAATGAAAGAGCTCAATGTGTGTGTGTAGTGTCTATAAAAATAATTCTAATTAGAATTTTGTTGAATGAACTGTAATATATTTTTATATTGAGTATAAAGCGAGCTCTTTTTTAAAAAAAATATAAGTAATATATAAATGTAACAATTCTTCTTGCTTTTTAAAAATTTAAAAATTTTTAGTAATTTTATTGAGAAGAGAAAATATTCGTAGAAAAGAGTTGAAGATAAAAAAGGTAATAGCGAAATTTCAACATATATCATATTTAACGAGCCTTATTGTACCACTCGCTGGATCATTAAGGGATGACACACGAAACTCTCCGCGCTCTTTCTGGACCTACTGGATTTATTCTATCTCCGCGAAAGCTCACGTGCCATCCCTTTTGGTCACCAACGCAGCACGCCGTCGGTTTATTTACGGAAACGCTTCTTCTTTGCTTCTTACCGAGAAATGTCTTACTTTGACTGCACCAACTCTTAATAGTCGTTTAGTTTTGTTTGATTTCTCCAAGCAAAAATAATTCTTAGAGTACAACATACAAGGAGCAACGAGCAAGATAAATATATACTTTTAATTAGGGAAGAAAACATGCGTCATGTTTTATTTTCGTTCAATTAATTCTCTTTTCTCATTCTTGTAAATAAATTTTATCTATTATTGCATTTTGAATTTTAAATGCAACTCTTGAAAATTCTAATTTTTTTAAAACGGTAAATAAATATTATGTGTGCATTGAATCAAATTTTATATTATTCAAGAAAAATAATACGAAAATGACATACATTTTTTTGCACACAAATAAAATAAAATTATTAATTATTAAATAAATTATTAAATAATTAAACTACGCTATAAAGACTATAAAGACGCTATAATCACGTATTTTACAAATACGCACATCTTTATATATGCCAAGATTTATCCTAGAGGACATTTCCAACGAACCTTGGTCGGTGCCAAATAACGATGACAGTCTAAAATTCCAAAGTTCTACTACCAATATTTCCATTATTATTCGCGCGTTAGGGGGTGAAAATAACGTTCAAATTTTCCGGTTGTGACATTTTGTCACAGTTCGTTTACATACCTGCTTGTTTTCACGAGCCAAGAACGTGCTTTCTCAGTAGGAAAATTTGTGTTTTCTTATTAAGAAAAGGTCCTCGTTAAAATTTTTGTGTTAAAGATAATCACTATTTATATAATGCAGTCATGTGTTAATTTAACATATTACTGTTGTGCTAATTGAATCTCAATGTTAAATTATTAAAACAACTGAAAAAATGTAAAAATAACACAATAATGTGCATCCATTTCTAATTTGACACAATAAATACGTTTTGTTTTATTAGTGACAAGATTTATCTGTTAAAATTTACAGAAAAGAATGTTGATTTTTTATTTTATAATATAAGTGGGAACGATAAAATGTAAAATTAATATATTTTTAATTAATTTTTACATTAAAACTATGTTAATTCTACACAAAATTTATTTTAAATTACTTGAAATTTTTCATTTATTTTATATTAAAATATTAATGCGATATTTATTTGTGTCTCGATTTAACATATTCATATTATGTTAAATTAACAGAAAAATTTCTGTGGACCGTTGTGATATCTGTTAAATTTAACATAAATTTTTCCACTGTGTCTCATTTTTCATCTCGTTCGAAAAATCGAATTTCTCGGACTTTCGAATCACGACGCAGATTGGCCTCGCGCGTTTCCGCCGCGTTTATTATACATTCTTTGGAATTAAGCCAATACGATATACACATTACTACCAGACAGCTAGTCGCCGCCGTTCGCGATTCCAATTCGCAATCATAGAACAGCCTCATAAATAATTGCGTTGTTCCTCCTCCATCATTTGTAACAACGACGTATACGAGCTCTTAATTAGCGGCGATTATGTACACGCGATATCTATATGCGTTCTGCGATTTTTTCGACGTGGGGGTATCGAATGTGTCATTATATAATGCGGAATTTGTTGCTCTCTAACTGCGAAAAGATGGGAAAGTTTTTAGATCAAATTAGAACTCGCAGATCTGAGTCTTCCTCATTACATGGTGCTCTATATTTTATTACATAAGCATAATATTATTATCTATAAATTCTATAATATTATAATATAATTATAATCTATAATATTTTACTGCATAATGAATATAAATTATTTACTCAGATTATAACATATTAATATTTTATTTATTATATATATATATATATATATATATATATATGTGTGTGTGTGTGTGTGTTTTTCTCTTTATATTATATTCAAATGCGCTTTTTACGCATTAAAATATTATACAGTAAAAAATTGTATTTTTCAAAGTCGTCTATATGTAATGTATATTAATAGATCTATTAAACAATTGATAAGTCACGAGAAATGCATCACATAGCAAGGCCCCCTGCTGCTCGAAGAATTCTTAAATTCCGACAATTGACATCGTTCTGTTCGTTTACCCTGAGTCAATTAACTGTTTAACATCTCGAGAGAGTGTCATATAATCACACTTGTAAAATGGAAAATTTTCCGCGTCGCGATATCATGAATATAAATATGCATTGCATCTATATTGCTTTCGTTTATATCGCGCGTATCGGAAATTGCACTGAGCGTTTGCTGATCTTTAGTGTAGAAAGTATATACGAGTGCATTGCAGAGTATATATAACACATTTTTTACACTTACGAATTAATTTAATCGATCATTCAATTATTATACTCATGTATGTATCTTTAAAGAGAATAGACGTCATTATATTATGTAAAATATATCGGATGTCTCTAAAAGAGAGAGCTGGCTTGAAAGTATCCTATTTTGTATTATTTTTTTAAAATAATTTTATGCAATGAGAGAGAGAGAGAGAAAGAGAAAGAAAATGGTTCACTCTCTAATTGTATTAAACTTTCGATAAAATTGTACGAGAAAGAATGAAATGTAGCGCTCATGCGAAAAAATTATTGTTTACCGTATACGGAAAAACGTGATCTTGTCACACGTTACGTCATTTATTTTCTATAACATTAACTGATGCATGTCTAATAACGGTTAACACTATGACGCAGCTTCTTCACGCGTCGACAGATTTTTTCTTCGCTTCTCTTTGAAGTAAACAGCTCGTGCTGCGAAGAAAACGTTTGAAAATGCCGTGATTATTTATAAAGAACTTTCTTTTATATACGATCGATAATGAGCATACAAGAGAGAGCATCCACTTAGAGTTCCTGTGCTTTTAAGTCGTACTTTGCTATAATTTTTTATCTATCGATATATTAGAAAATGCACAAATATTGATAATATCATTCATAAAAAGTGGCAGATGTGATAGATGGTTACTGCAAAATATTTGCTTAGCAAAAAATTAAAAATAATTTGTTTTGTCTATGTATATTTATATATGTATATGAATATGAAAAAAATAACAAAATCGAGAAAAAATTAGACTTTGCGTTAGATAAACATTCAAAAATTTTGAGAAATTCCTGGAAATGATTATCGCATCGAGGAAGCACGACAATAACAAATGTATTTCTTGTCATGCCTTATTTACGTCAGCTTATTTTTTATTTTTACGAGACGTTTTCGACGCCGACATCTGCGGTCAATATTTATCTTACCGCGGCAACGCAAAAGCATTTTATCAGAGCGACAACTTTCGACCTCATATATGCGGACTGCAGTATGGATAAAAAAAAATGCAAGAATTATGTTGACGTGCAACGGGTTATCGAGGTGACGGCTCTTTCGCGAGCTACGAATACACGTAAATCGATATATTACGTATCGTCGGTCAATGGCATCGAATCCGGTTGGCGACTGCTGTAAAATTTGTGTCGCAATAATTCTATCGCGATTATTTACGATAAAAATCGAACAGACATCATTCGAATAAATATCATACAATC